AGGTCTTTCTAGCTTGGTCTTTGTTACTTTCACATCTAGTGTCACTACCATCTTCATCATCCCTGAGGGAGAGAATGGTTCAGTACATTCAAGAGTTTGCTACTTCAACAGTATTAGATTGTCTTTTCCAGCACATTCCTTTAGAATTTTGTGTACCATCAAGCTTGAAAAAGAAGGATTCAGAACTTCCAGCTTCAGTGTCAGAAGCAGCGAAATCTGCAACTCATGCCATCACTTCTAGTTCTGTGTTATTTTGCTTGGAATCGCTTTGGCCTGTCAGACCAGAAAACATTGCTTCACTTGCTGGTGCAATTTTTGGCCTCATGCTTTGTATTCTTCCAGCTTATGTTCGAGGGTGGTTTAGTGAGATACGTGACCGTTCTACTTCATCTGCCATTGAATTTTTCACTAGAGCATATTGTAGCCCCCCTCTGATTATGAATGAACTCTCCCAGGTATGAATGATGTGAATCCTTAAGCACTCTGATACTTGAACATTTATTGAAATGAATTCATCACTCTGAAATTTTGCTTTTCATTTTCGTGGATGATATAAAGTTTTCAAGAAATGAAATTGTCCGTTGTACCCATCTGGGCTCTAGTGATGAAATTGACGAGAAGATTTAAGATTATTGTGAATAGTGTCTAGAGCAAGAATGAAATTTTGAGTTATTAGAATAAAGGAAATTCCAGGGGCTTTCCTGAATATGAATCATTTCATTTGAAGTGCTAGTCATGCATTTCTTTTTAGTTTCCTGACGCTTGCTAACCAAGTGGAAGATTGACTGGCTGCTTAAATGTTAAGATAATCCAATCCGGATGAACATTAAGTATCTATATTTGCTTTTATTTGTACGCTTAACTTTTGCAGCATAAGCTTTATTTGTAATCTCAGTCAGTTTTTTGCTCTTTGTGACATAAAATTCCTCACTAACCTTCATCAAAATGCAGATAAAAAAAGCCAATTTTTCTGATGAGAATTTCTCGGTCATCGTAAGCAAATCTGCTAATGAAGTGGTGGCCACTTACACGAAAGACGAAACAGGAATGGACCTAGTAATTCGTCTTCCGGCATCTTACCCACTGAGGTCTGTGGATGTAGATTGTACCAAGAGCCTTGGCATTAGTGAGATTAAGCAGAGAAAGTGGTTAATGTCAATGATGTCATTTCTTCGTAATCAGGTGTCTCCCACTGACTTACTTCTGATCTGTGCATCATTCTCCCATTCTATCCCGATTATTTCCTGTGTCTGCCCACTATTGTAATCCGTCAATCTCTCATCTGCTATATTCAAATTTATCGCCTTGGTATATGTAGCTGTTACATTTAATCTACTCTTTGATCATGCATGTGTTTCCTTCTGAGGCATACCTTTTCAATTTATAATGTCAGTCTTCAGTTTTATTTGTACTAAGGTGTACAATGTCCCGATTTTCAGGTATTGGTATTTTACCATCTTTGTTGTAAATTAACTGTTTAGTGGCTGTTATGTTTCTTGAATGACCTGTTCAGCATTTAAATAATTTTCAATGAGTTCTTGGGGGGTTGGGCTGAAGCATTATTTTTCTTACAATGCAGAATGGTGCTTTAGCTGAAGCAATTCGCACATGGAAGAGCAATTTTGATAAGGAATTTGAAGGTGTTGAGGAGTGCCCTATATGTTACAGTGTCCTCCACACTTCAAACCATAGCCTCCCACGGCTAGCTTGCAAAACCTGCAAACACAAGTTCCATTCAGCCTGCCTCTACAAGTGGTTCTCCACTTCTCACAAGTCAACTTGTCCATTGTGTCAATCTCCTTTTTGATCATATCGTCCAAAGTAGTGATGCCTTCGTAGAGCAGTAAATATAATTTTTCCTTTGGATAGCTCTTGATTTCGTTGTCTGTCACTTATGCCAATGGTGGTGACTGTGACACAACATTTGTGGGTTGACATACCCTTCCTACAGCGAATTGTAAGTGCGCTCTCTCTCTCTCTGTGTGTGTGTGTGTGTGTGTGTTTGTGTGCCCATTCTTTTCTTTCTTGGGCTGATTCTTTTCATATCTAACACCTTGCAGTGTGTTTACTTTTGTAACCTTCGGTATCTCAAGTGATAATATCTATCTACGCTGGAGATTTTGGTTTTATATAATTAAAATGATATTCTGCTTGTTTGGTCAGGGAGCTTCCATGGTTGCTTTGATCATGTCATCTGAGAATTGAGATGGTTAGCTCTTCGAGTTAGCAGCTTCAAGATACAAATGAGCTAAGATGGTAAAGATGCCTTAATCTTTCTTGATCATCATCTGGTACCGTTCTTCAAAATCCTAACCAGCCTGAGCTGGAGTTTGTTTTCATAAAAGTGTTGAAATATTTATTCAAAAATCCCTTTAAATTTTTCAAAATCTTTTGCAAGATATTTCGAACTACCCAACACTACCATGGAACATTCTTAAGCATTACAACTTAGCCGACAGCTTTCTACTGTTTCATGCAGTTAAATATGTAGACAGGCAAGCAGACATTTTTCTCCAATGGTGTCTGCTTATTGCCACAGTAATGGCCATGGTGTTCACATATAATTAGGTGGAAAAACAAGGATGTAAAGATTTGCCGTTGATCTTCCCTGTTTAAAGTTATTCATACGAGAGATAGATTAGTATTTTATTTTAACTATTTGTTAGGATTTGTCCTTACGCCATTTTTGCTGTTTTCCCCTCTTTGTAAGGTTCAACTTTTGAGGTAGTTGATAGAATTTGAGCTATGCTATCCAAGTCCAAAAGAATTTATGCCATGCCTCTGAATAGATTACTCTGATCTTAAAATCTAGCATTTTGTGTTGGGTAGTTCCAAATTCTCTGTGTGAACTCTTGAGCAATCTATTGGTGTTTGAACTTTAACAAGTCAAAATTTTGCACACTATGGTGGAGTTTGATTAAGCACTATACTTTTTCTTCATTGTCGTTATCTCTGTCATTTTTTTTTCTAACTTTTCGTCCTATTTATCTCCTGTTCATCATAGATTGAACATCATGACTTGATTTGATATATTTTAACTTCTTTTAAAGTATAGTTTTGATTCTTTTCAATATTTGTTTAGGAACAATAATAAACACAAACAGTATAAAATACTTGGAAATCTAACAAGCGTAAAAGTTCAACATAATATGTTATAAGAAGTTAAGGATCTAAAAAACACAAAATTAGTACTGTGTTGTTAGGTTAAGAGAGAGAAAATATTACATCCCTATGCTCAGCTCATAGCTCGACACGTATTCTTTGCCCATCCTTCATCCTTTGTATGGGTATGCTCGAAGTCATCATCAATTGTGGGTGGTCTATATCCTTTGCCTGCATAAAAAAGAAAGTTAAATTGGATTAGTCCGACGAGAGTGACAAAGAGTCACCCTTATCAGATGCTTGCCTGACCTTTACTTCAGTGCTCTTTTTCTCAGTTAAATTGGATTAGTCCGACGAGAGTGACAAAGATCCCATGTATTTTCGCCATTTCAATTCAGAAGAAACACTGAATCTAACCATCTAACTTTTGCTCAGCTTCAGCTGTTATCGTTCAACCCGTCTATCCCATCTAGTTCAGCTTAATAGTAAACTTATATTTGTTCATTTGAAAATTCTCATTAGTTCTTTGATTTCGACACCTCTCATTTGCTTGTTTCTCCCTACTACCGAACGATACTTCTTTTTTTCCGACTCAGTCATATTTTCGCTCAATTCATCACATTTCCTTGGAAAACCAATCAATCGCTACTCCGTTTTACCTAAAATTTGACTAATAGGCTAAATCAATTAATTTTTTATAATAGACCTCAAGTAATTGATTCAATCCAATTAAGTTGATCTTTGTTAATAAAAAACAAATAAATGAAGCTAATAATTGGAAACGAGAGCAATAGGACAAGAATGATGTGAAAGCAATAAAGAAGAAACAAAAAGCTTCTTATTGGTTAATACTCTATGCTGATCTAGTAGCTTATCGTGGCTGAAGGAGAGTAGAAATTTTAGTATAATACTAGTAAATTTAACCGCGCTTTGCGCGGCAGAGAAATGAATGAATTTAAAAAAAAATTATGTAAATTTAGTCGAATTAGAAAGATATAGAAATATTTTCATGTATATGTGTATAAAAATGACTATAATCTATTAAAGAAATCACAACTCTGATATTTTATAAGAATTGGAGCTAGATAAAATGCATTTTCATTATCATATTTCTCTAAAACAAAGAATTTTAAGGAAAATTTTCTCTCGTGTGTGTGGTTTAATACATGAATCTGTTAGTCTAATTATATATTAGATACATCATAAATGTACATAGGTATTTGAGAAAGTTTTCCATTCTAATCTATCTATATAGAATAACAAAGGCAAAACCATGTTAGGCTGACAAGTGGAATACCCACAATTCTAACACATGTAAAAAATTAGGACAACTCTCCAAGATAATTGGAATTTCAAATTCAAACTACAAATCAACAAAATAAAGTTAAATTTAAAAAATATAAAAAACTTCCAATCGACCCACGATTTTGTTTTCAGTCCTTCCACGATTTTGTTTTTGCAGTTATTCTTATTGATACACTTGCCTATTAAAAATAGAATTTCCTTCCCCTTATTTGGGCTGGCTGTTATTAAAAAACAAAAAGAATCCTCCCACTTTCTTAGTTGACCCTATTTTACTCAACAACTACCGTGTCAAAGTTTCAATTAGTTTTTTTATACATAAATAAAAGTTAAAAAAAAAAGGACGAATTAATAACAATGGGCTAACTCATTCTTCAATCAGTTGAAAATATATTGGTAATATAAAAATTAAGTTTCCTGTCGTACTTTAATTTTTAATTATTTCGAAAATACATTTAAAAAATTGTCTTTGGGACTTATAGTAAACTATAAATATTACTGCACTAAAAAAGATATAAAATAAAAAAACAAAATATAATAATAAATATAAAGGAAAAAGAGGCGCATCAGATATGCCCTGTTATCGTCAACTGCTCTCTGTTTTAGCTTTTCTTGAAGACTCTTCAACTTCTCAAACCTAATTCAGTTTCTCACCCCAATTTTTCTACAGTAGTTTTTCTTCTATTCCACGACTGATCGTGCTCCCAAACGTGGGCTTCCAACCAAAAATCTCTATTTTATCTACACATACATAACTGCATGATTTATGCGCTGTATATTTTCAAAACCTTTTCAACTTCGTATTTTATCTACTCAGTATACCAGTCTGATTACAATTGATTTGCAAATATGGCCACACAAATTCATGATATCAAACAAATTTCAGGCAACTCGATGCAATGGAATCTCAAAGTTAGAGTTGTTCGAATGTGGGTAATGCCGGATCGCTTTAAGCCGGAAATACCGTATTCAATTGAATTGGTTTTACAGGATTCTAAGGTAACATATTCAACTTTCTCATAGGTTTAAACTTCGTAAAGTACTCGCATTCTATATGAAAATTCATTCTTCCGCATTACTCAAATGTCTAGGAAGTTGCTCCAATAATTTCTACTTCCATATAAACAGTTCTTTAAGTGATATGGAACCGACTGTGCCATTCTGATTTTTGATTTCAAATCTTGAGGATAACTTTAGACAGTGATTATCCTAATATATACATATAGACAATCAGTTAAGTTGCATCTTCGTACATAATAACAGATGTATTGTTCAAAATAACAGAGGTATTGTTCAAAATATAAAAATCTGGCAAATATTAGATATTGGTTGCCTTGCTTAGACTATCAACGGATGAACATACAGAAACTACGCTTATATATGAAATATGTGTAGTACAAGTATTCCTCTTTCTGTCTATTAATTAATGCTGGCTTCATAATTGATATAGAACAAACTGTAGCATTCTGGTTTTTGGCATCAAATCTTGAGGACAACTTTAGGCAGTTATGACAGTATAGACGATCTTAAAATTGTTGGCTTCATAATTGTGCACTAATAAGGAATCTGATTTTGTAGGGTGATCGTATACATGCTTCAATCGGAAAGTATGTTGTTAAGTTTTTTAGGAACAAGATACATGAACTTCGCTTATATCGTATGAACTACTTTGTAGTCGGACCAAATAATTTGAAGTTGAGGACTACGGCACACAACCTGGGGCTGACATTTACTCAAAAGACATTTGTTGAGGAAACAAATGACCCTTCATTTCATATGAACATCTTTAACTTGCGCTCTTTTGACCAACTAACAAATCAACATGATGTCGATCAGACAGAATTACTCGGTAATTCTTCTTTTCATTTTTAATGAACTAATGGTATTTGTAAAACTATGTGACTAACTTTTATATTTATAGATGTTGTTGGTCAGGTTGTGACCTATGAAGATGTTAAGACCTACAAGCAAGGAGACAACCAAAGTGTCTTTATTAATGTTGTGCTCGAAGATGATCAGTAAGTAATTCAAAAATAGAAACAATACTTTATAATAAATTACCTATATATGTGTTTATTAATCTTACCATGAAACGTATAGGAGGAACAGGATTTTGGCAACCTTATGGAGTGAACTTGTGGATCAAATTCAACATCACTTGAATGAATCTACTGATGAGCCTTTGATTGTTGTTTTCCAGCATATGAAAGCTCAAAAATTTCGAGGTTTACCAGAAATTACATGTATTTTTGAATTTTAGTTTATAAAAATTTTTAAATTTCAAATTTATATTTATAGTTCATTTGATACACAGGTAATTACTCAGTGCGTAGCTGTTGGTATCAGACAAAGATATGGATAAATTCTACGTTGCCGCAATCTATTGACTTTAAATCCAGGTTTTTCAAGTGTATAATCCTTTTCTATATGTACACAAAAAATAACAATAGTATTTATAAATTACAATTTTTGACTTATGCAGATTACTTGCAGCACGTCAATCAAACTTTGAGCGAATCACTCAAACAAGTTCTCAGCAAAGTTACTCTGTTAGAGATGAGTTAGACAAAGGAATTGTACTGTTTAAAACTATAAGGGATTTAGTTCAGTGCACGCAAGTGAGTTTAATTTACTTTGTCAATTATATTTATCTTATGTTTTCTGTTTTGCATTTACAATAATTTTTTATTTTTGTTAAATAGGAATGTAGCTATTGGATTGCGGCAAAATTGGTTAATTTGGAACTTGACCAGGGATGGTCATACTTGGCATGCAACAAGTGTAGTAGAAAGGTTGATAAAGTTGAAAATAAATACTTTTGTAAGAAATGCAATGAAGAAGAATTTTCATTTACTCACAGGTAATTACTATTTATGTATATTTAAATTCTTCTATCTATAAAAAATATGCATAAGGTTAATCAAAATTGAGTTGCAGGTATAGGCTTCAAGTTCGTGTTATGGATGGAACCGCTTTTATCTCATTGTTGCTTTGGAATCGCGAAGCTATGCAGCTTATAGGGAAGTCCGCAAAAGAACTTAAGGAAAGATTACTTGAGGTATAATACTAAACTTAATTTAGTTATCAATTATAATATTTCTAACCTATGAAATTTGGTGTAGACTTCAATTGCGGATGCTGACTGTTCTTATCCAAGTGAACTGGACGATATTCTTTATAAAAAATTCATGTTCAAGGTTATTGTTAAGCAAGAGAATATTGAGTCACAGGTCGAAGTCTACAAAGTTCTTAAGCTTACTGATGATGATGACCTTCTAAAGGAATACAATCACAGTTTATTCGATGATACTATCACTGTAAACATTTTTTACTCACAAACCTCCTCATACAAAATTTAGGTATAAATAATTTTGCATTCATAGGATGAATGAATGTTCTTTTTTCTTTCTGTTTAACAGGATCCACAGTTTTTTGATGGACAAAGCTCAAGTGGAGATAAGCTTTTCGGGGTAAATTTTATGAAATTTAAACTTTTACATCATTATTTATTTAGTTAACAATTATGAGTCAAAATTATGCAACTAGCAACAGTATTGCTCTCCAACTGCTATTAAATGTTTTTATTTTTGGAAGGATCTTATGGCCGAAACTCAGCTGAAGTCTGTTTTGCAAACTCCCATCGAGAAAAGCGTATCAGAAAGTGGATCGTCCGTGTTAGAAGATGGTGATGCTTGCAATGCAAAAATATCTCCTTTGAAGACGTATGACAAGAAGACTAGATCCGCTAATAAGGCATCAGCAGTAGGACCAGATGACGACTTCAATTCTCAACTCTCTAGCAACAAGGTTCGCAGAGTCGTTAAGAAAGAAAAGAATCTCTGATTGCTTTTACTGAAATGCCTTTAGCTATGCAATTGTATATTTTGTACTTATGTCGAATGAATGTGCTGCTGTTGATATGTGATCTGGTGAAATGACTCTACCTATGCAACTTCATATTATCTTTATTAATCATGAATTTAATTATTACTTATGTTGAATGAATGTGCTGCTGTTGCCTCAGAGATTTGCTAGCCTCAGAGATTTGCTATCTGCTTCATTATTGGTTGTGCTTTCATTTTTGTCTCATTCTTTGCTGTCAGAAAATTTTCTATCTGTCTTATATGTAATCTCTGCAGAGCACTTTGTGCACTTCAAGTAGAATCAGAACATTTCTATTAAGCATTTAGTAGATAATCAGATACCAAAGCAGGTAAAAGATCATTTCTTTTACTATCGGCAAAGCATAATGGGGAGCAACTGTTGTTAGGAACTTGCAACCAACACTCGGATATTTATTTCTCAATATTTTTTTCAAGAACTAAAATTATTTCATGTTACTTTGGCTGGATTTTTTGTAATCCACAGACAATGCTTATCGTTCGAAATTAGCATATTCACAATAAGCAAAAAATCAACAATCCTACCCCAAAGAAGAACCTTTTTCAGAAAATAACATAAATTACTCTCTCCATCTCAATTTATGTGGTACACCTTTTTTTAGTCTGTCCCAAGAAAAATGTCATGCTTCTTTAGGTTCCAAAATAAAGATGCTAAATACCTTCAAGAATTGAAGAGCCTTCCTATCTTCTTCTTGCTTCCAATCATCGTGCTTCGCAATTTCAACATTTCCATAAAAAGGAAACTAAATCAACTCAAATTAATCTCTGCAGAGCACTTTGTGCACTTGAAGTTGAATCAGAACATTTCTATTCCTGTAGTCTGCATAAATTGAGATGTGATTATGTAGATTAGCGTTTATACATCACAACAACAACAAAGGCAAATCACGTTGGCCACAAAAAAAAAGGGACGTTACTCTTGATGAGCAGATTACTTCAATTTAACTAACAAAGGTAGTAAAAAAACAGGCCAAGAATTACTATATAATCTGAAAAGGACAGGGGACAAGTATTCCAAAAATATCATCTCGGACGTCGCTGGAATCAATGGAATACGTTGGATTTGTAAGTCCATGTGAGGCAAGGCACTCTCAGATTCTTTATACCCTTTAAAAGCACTTATGACTCTTTCACCAACCTGAAGCATGAATATAGAGTAAGTCAAATGATATTGAAAGAAAACCATGAAAAAAATAAACCATATAGCCAATAAAGCCAATACAAAGTGGAAGAACATTCTGTCCAAATCCAACCATTTTCATGGATTTGGACAGAATGGTATATGTGTAAAATTTCCCACGGAATTATTAAAGCCTTTTGCTATATATTCACGAACAACTGTCTTCATATCTATGAAGACAAAAGTTAGATGAATTATAGCATCGATAATGTGTCATCACTAGATAACCTTCTATAAATTTGCAAGGTATTCCAAACTCTTCTATGAGGATTTCAAACTCTTCAACCAACTCATTCTTGGGGTATCAAATAGTGCAGGAACAATAGCCCCACCCACCACCAGTTGCATAACCATTACGATTTTCTCATACGACAAATGAACAACAACAATTACAAATTTTACCTCTCTTCATCTGAAGACTATTTAGCCATTATGTTTCTATTTGGCAACCTGAAAATCCAAAAATATTGAATTTCTTATGATATTACATCACATATAACTAGAGCATATGTGCGATATGTTAACAAGATAAGAAAAAGGAAAAAACCATACATATTCCAAACATGCTCTTACGATCAAATTTCACAACCTACACCGCCTTTAAAATATGCAACATGGGAGACGAATTTCGTCTCTCCTATGGATAAACAAACATAAACATAACGATTTGTAAATATTCACAATATTAGTAAAAGTGAGAATTTGGTAAGAGTTAGAACTTGCTAAGAATTAATAACAATGGGCTAACTCATTCTTCAATCAGTTGAAAATATATTGGTAATATAAAAATTAAGTTTCCTGTTGTACTTTAATTTTTAATTATTTCGAAAATATATTTAAAAAATTGTCTTTGGGACTTACAGTAAACTAAAAATACTACTGCACTAAAAAAGATATAAAATAAAAAAACAAAATATAATAATAATAAATATAAAGGAAAAAGAGGCGCATCAGATATGCCCTGTTATCGTCAACTGCTCTCTGTTTTAGCTTTTCTTGAAGACTCTTCAACTTCTCAAACCTAATTCAGTTTCTCACCCCAATTTGTCAACTCCTGCCTACCTCAACGTCAGCCAATTTTTTTGATATGTATCCAGCGCTTTCATGCTTTTACGTTTGTCTACAGTAGTTTTTCTTCTAAAATTGTTGTAGTCAACCCTGTTGTGGTTGCTTCAGAAATTTTCGATATTGAATTACACTATCAGAAGAAAATAGAGTTTTTTTTGCTTTGGAATCAACAGACTGAGGGGTTGCCAAGAAGCCCTACAAAATTCCACTTTACTTTTGCAAAAGACTCTACAACTTCTCGCAACAAATTCAGTTTTTACGGCACTTTGACATGGAAGAACAGAAAAAACTCGCAAGAAAAAATCGAATATGCATACAGAAACAGAAACAGGCTAAATTTTCCTCGAACGGTATGAAATTTTAACATTATATAGATCATGAGTAATTTTGCAGTTCTTTAAACAATTGGACGTAAATTCGGTCTCTTACTAAATCTTTTTGTTCTACTATTTGTTCAGTTTCATAGATGCATTAGATTCTCAAATTTAAGTATAATTTTAAAAAACATGTGTCCTATATATCGACGTATTTTCTGATCCTTACACCATAGTACTCTCTATTATGCTGTGTATGGTCTTTCTTCCGAATATGCATTATTTGATATATCATTGCATAAATTTAAAATAATTATGTCATATGTTTTATCATTTTTGATATGTTTACCCATCCCGTGCATCTTATGCATTTTTAAAATTTTAGAGCATTTGTAATTTTTAAGTATTTTTGATGATTAGTCGTACAGGTTTGTCGTCTTTATTAGTGCCTTTTATACCTGTTTTACTCAGTTGCAAGTAGAGAAAAATCACAATTCTAATCAGCATATCAATTCTTATATACTAACCTTTAATGATAGTTATTGTCCTTAAACATCCTATAGATTATTTCATTATATTGGTTTTGATAGTTTTCCAACCTTTTTCCACTTATAACAGTTACCTGTTTTTTTATTTTATGGTTTACAGACTTTATCCATTCTACTACTATCAGACGGAATGCTTTTGAAAAAGGAAAAACAGAACAATCATTAACGGACATAACAAATCGTCTGAATTCCCCTCAATTATGTATTGCACCCATAAAGATTTGTGAACAAGTTTCATCATCTCAGTCTCAACAACAATATCCAAATTCAATGCAACAACAACATTTGCGATATGATTTGTCGCCTTCAAAATTGCAAAGCGATCATCTTTTACCAGATTTAAATGAGTTACCATTATTGCAAGGTAAATATTTGTGTAAATTTTGTTTTATCTTATTTTGAAAATTTGAGGAAGTCAAACTTTTGTGTCGCTATACTGAATCTCAACAAAAATATAAATTTTTTTAATTTATATACTTTTTTCTCATATGCGTAATGGACTGGCCAGTAGAATAATTTATAAAATAAAAGCTTAATTTGCTGCCATTATTTGCTTTTGTTTATTTTATTAAGTACAACATGTTTGTTATAATTATAGAATTATTATTTTGTATGAATTTTCTTTTTTGTCGTTCTACTTTTGAAAATTTTATTAAGCGATTTATCTTCTCTTTTGTGATGTTTATTTTTTTTTTAAAAATATTTGTTTGGTTGATTAGGCTTAATCTTTAGAATACTTTTAAATGAAGTTTTGTTGGCCATCTAATATAACATGTTGTTTGATAGGGGGTTTACAGTTTCATTGGAAGTATGACTAATTAGAGGCGAAGTAAGATTTAGTTCATGTTTGTAATGCGAGATTTTAGCCAAAGTTAAACCTTATTGATGGGAGTCGGTTTGTATTTGACCTCTATATATACTCTTGACCATCTTTAATTTCATAAGTTTGCTAAGGTACTACCTTTAGTTTAACTTAATGGAATGAGGTTGAAACTAACGGTGACACTGTTAAAACACAAAAATCAAGAGTTATTTTTTAAGTTAAACCCAGCTATAGAGTTATTTTTTCAAGGTCAATATTGCAATAAACTTATACTTTTTCTTGACCATGAAATATAAAAAATGCTACATATTAAGTTTGTTTACATAGAATTTAGGATATAAATATTGGTTTGATAGTTTTCCTATCTTTTTCCACTTCTAACAATTAGTTTTTTTGTTTTTATTTTATGGTTTACAGAATTTGTTGATACTACTATCATAGGGAATGCTTCTCAAAAAGGGAAAACAAAACAATCATTAACGGATATAACAAATCGTCTAAATTTCCCTCGATTTCGTACTACCCCCATAAAGAGTTGTGGACAAGTTTCATCTTCTTATTCTCAAGCACAATATCCAAAATCAATGCCAGAGCATAATTTGCGATATGGTTTGTCGAGTTCAAATTTGCAGAAAGAACATCTTCTACCGGATTTAAATGAGATACCATTATTTCAAGGTAAATATTTATGTTTAAGTTATTTAACTTATTTTTGAAATTTGAGGAAGTCAATTATTTGTGCCGCTATATACATCTCCACATAAATAATGAAGTTATTAATTTATATACGTATAACTTATATGCGAAACTTTATGGGCAACAGAATTATTTAAAAAACTAAACTTTAATTTGCTGCCATTTATTTGCTTCTCTTTATTTTCTCAAGTACAACATGTTTGTTATTTTACAATTCTACTTCTATGAGTTATTTTTTATTTGGGTTCTACTTTTGCAATTTTCATTATTTTAAATGCACCCCTATAATTTCAAATTCAGTATTGCATTATACTTTTTGTTCAATATGAAATTGAAAAAAAGGCTAACAATTAATATTTATGTTTAGAATTTGAAGATGACAATATTGATGGTGATATACCAGGTATGCCATTTAACTCACCGCAACTCATAGTCATACATACAAGTTTATTAATTTTTAATTTATGCATCAAGGTCATATGCAATCCAACGTACAAATTCATGATGCAAATGAAGATGACGATGTATTTGAAGGTATTCACATATAAACTCATCAATGTTCGATAATGTTAAAATGTATTAACAGTTCCAAATATATTAAATTTCAAATTTTAAGATCTAATTATTATTATTTATAGATGATGAAGTAGAGAGCTGGATGACCAATGAAGGTAAGTATGACGTATTTTAAAGTTACATATACAACATAATTTTACTTTCTATATAATAAGTACTTTAACTTTATCTCTTTATTTTACTCTCATAAAACTAGAATACTGGGATATAGGAGATGCCAATTATGAATGTGAATATTGTGGGGCATATTTCTGGTTCGAGGAAAGAGTTGACAAGAAGTATAAAAATAAAAAACCAGTTTTCACTTTGTGTTGTGGTCGTGGAAAAATCAAGCTACCAAATCCAAAGGAGCCTCCTTCGATTTTGAAGGATTTATTGTTTGGATCAGGTTAATAGATAAATTCATTTAATTAAAATAATGACACTATAATTTTTGCATATATATATCTGCTTTAGCCAAACCTAATTTCATGAAGGTGCAAAAAGCAAACATTTCAGAGAGAACATTCGAACATATAATTCTATATTTGCATTTACATCAATGGGAGGAAAGGTGGATTTTTCTGTCAACAAAACAAAGGGACCTAGAACATTCAGATTGTCTGGGCAAAATTATCATCAGATTGGAAGCTTATTGCCTCCGGAGGGATCTTCTCCAAAATTTGCACAATTGTATATCTATGATACAGAAAATGAGGTGGAAAATAGAATTCATGCTATCAGGTTAGCATAGACAATTGCTTACTCAAAATATTTTTAAATTATATTTTTTATAAGACATACATTGTTAGTTGAATTCAATACTTTTCTTTACAGCCGTGGTGAAATGAACAATCAACTTCATGCTGAAATTGTGAATGAGTTGAAGCAAATGCTTGATGACAACAATATTCTTGCAAAGTCATTTAGAATGGTAAGAGATCAATTTCAAACAGACCGGACCTCAAATGTTAGACTTAGATTGATAGGGAAAAGAGGCTCTGATGGAAGAAGATACAATTTACCAACAGTTTCAGAGGTAGCTGCTTTGATCGTTGGAGATTTTGAACAAACAAGGTCTGACAGAGATATCATAGTTGAAAGCCAATCTGGACAACTACAAAGGGTAAATGAATTAAATGCAGCATACTTAGGTTTGCAATATCCATTACTATTTCCGTATGGTGAAGACGGATACCGAGAAGATATTCCTTTAAATGATATTGATGATTCGACCAGTGGAAGGAAATGTGTTAGCACGCGTGAGTACTTATCATATAAAATTCAAGAAAGGAAGGATGAAGTTCCAACAATTGTGTCAGCTAGAAGATTATTTCAGCAATTCTTGGTAGATGGTTATACAATGATGGAATCTTCTCGATTGAGGTTCATTAGGCTTCATCAAAAACAATTGAGAGCACACTTTTATAAAGGGTTACAAGATGCTGTTTTACATGGTGACATAGAACCTTCTTCTCAAGGACAAAGAGTTATACTCTCTTCCAGCTTTACGGGAGGTGCACGCTACATGTTGCAAAATTATCAAGATGCCATGGCAATTTGCAAATGGGCGGGGTACCCTGATCTGTTCATCACATTTACTTGTAACCCAAAATGGCCAGAGATTACTAGATTTGTGGAGAGTAGGGGATTATCTCCAGAAGATCGTCCCGACATTTTAACAAGGGTTTTCAAAATCAAGCTGGATCGCATGATAAAGGATCTACGCGACAATAAAGTTTTTGGAGAAGTAAAAGCAGGTACAATTTTTATGTTCTAGAAAATTATTACATTATTACATTAATTTTGTTATATGCTAATATTAAAAATAACTAATATATAAACTTAATGATCTAATTATATCTTTATTCTTCAGTGATTTATACAGTTGAATTCCAAAAGCGAGGCTTGCCTCATGCACACATCTTGCTTTTTCTTCTGAATAAATACCCAAATGTCGGAGATATTGATGGAATAATTTCAGCAGAATTACCAGATAAAAAAGTAGATCCTTATTATTATAATGTTGTTACAAATTTCATGATGCATGGTCCTTGTGGTACTGCTAGAAAATCTTCTCCGTGCATGCAAAATGGTAGATGCACAAAGCACTTTCCAAAAAAATTTGTGTCATCAACCACAATTGATGAAGATGGATATCCAATTTATAGAAGAAGGGATGATGGTAGAACTGCAAAGAGAGTAGGTATTGACTTGGATAATAGGTATGTTGTACCACACAATAGATTTTTATTATTGAAGTATGGTGCACATATTAACGTGGAGTGGTGTAATCAATCACGATCCATTAAGTACTTATTTAAGTATGTTAATAAAGGAAATGATCGTGTCACCGCAGCTTTTTCTCAAAGTGTAAATAATGAAGACTCGGGGGTCGTTGATGAAATAAATATGTATTGTGATTGCCGATACATATCACCTTGTGAAGCTGCTTGGAGAATTTTTAAATTCCCAATACACCATAGAGAACCATCGGTAGAAAGGCTATCTTTTCACCTACCAAATAATCAGACAGTCATATTTTCGGATGATGATCCAATTGATGCAGTTGTCAATAGACCAACCGTTAAGGAATCTATGTTTTTAAGCTGGTTTGAAGCTAATAAGACATTTCCTGAAGCAAGAGAATTGACTTATGCAGAATTCCCTCTAAAGTTTGTGTGGAAACAAAATCTAAAAAGATGGGAAAAAAGAAGAACATCTGCATTTTCTATTGGGAGAATATTCTTTGTTCCACCTGGATCTGGCGAGCAATATTACCTTAGATTGTTGTTGAATGTCATTAAAGGTCCAAAGAGCTATGAGGATTTAAAAAATATCAACGGTTGTGATCATGAGACTTTTAGAGATGCATGTTATACTCTGGGTTTATTAGACGATGACAAGGAATACGTGGATGCTATAATGGAAGCAAGTAATTGGGGAATGGCATCATATCTTAGGCAATTATTTGCTATGCTACTTTTATCAAATTCAATGTCACGTCCAGAAAGTGTTTGGCAAGCAACATGGCATTTACTATCAGAAGATATCCTTCATGAAGAAAGAAGACTATTGGATCACCCAGGTACTTATTTAATGCTTACAATTTCGAGTTATGATATGATACTTCTGAAGGATGGCTGATTTGCTTAACTTTATTAATTAATTTTCTTTTTAATTACTTCATTCATATTAATCTTATTGTTCATTGCTTTTTATATTTTTTTTCAACTTCATACAAAATTCATTCCAGAACTTAAGGTTCGTTAAACAATATTTTGTTATGTTTATGTCTTTTTACTATAGTGTTTTCTTTAGATCATAGGAATAATATTGGTACTAATTAATGCACTTTCCAGACATAAATACTAATAAAAAATTAATGCATTGTATTTAATGCCCTAAAGCTTCGGAAAAGCCTAAAATCGCTCTTATGCATTCTCTACTTTAATTGAAAATATTTCAATTCATTATTTTTGGATATCAAAACTGACTTTTTTGATACATTACGAATAATAAAATGCATCTTCACATTATTAGTACACTTTAAAAATAAAATGAACTACATGGTTTGGACTATATTATTCCTTCAAATTCTTTGTACGTTAAATGTGCTTTAAATTCATGTAAACTACTATTGAACACTATACTTTTTCATTAATCTTATTATTAATCTCATGTGGCTAAACTAAACTTTAACATTTAATTGTATTTCATTATTTTATATTTTTATGTTATTTCAGAAGCTGACCTAACAGATGAAGAATTGAAAAATCGCTGTTTGCAAAAGCTTGAAAATTTTTTGAAAGGTTGTGGAAGAAGTTTTCAGGATTTTCCAACAATGCCAAGGCCTGTTTATAATACGGAAGAAGTTGACAACAGTAATAGATTAATACGGGATGAATTGCGTTATAATAAACGCGCTTTGGTGGAGGAACATCAACAATTAGTAAAGAATTTGACAGATGAGCAAAAGTCAGTTTATGAAAAAATAATAAGAGATGTGAATGAAGACAAAGGTGGATTTTTCTTTTTATATGGTTTTGGAGGAACATGCAAGACTTTTATTTGGAGAACTCTGTCTTCTGCCATAAGATCTAGAGGAGATATTGTGTTAACTGTTGCATCTAGCGGGATTGCATCTCTGTTGTTACCAGGTGGTCGAACAGCTCATTCAAGATTTGTGATTCCTCTAAATGTAACTGAAGATTCAACATGTAATATCAAGCAAGGTACTCCTTTAGCAAATTTAATTATTAAGGCAAAGTTGATTATTTGGGATGAGGCACCCATGATGCATAGATATTGTTTTGAAGCTCTTGATAAAACTTTAAGAGATATTCTTAGGTTTAAAGATGCATCCAATTTACACCTACCATTTGGAGGTAAAACAATTGTTCTTGGTGGTGACTTCAGACAAATATTACCTGTCATTCCAAAAGGAAGTAGGCAAGATATTGTTAATGCTTCTCTCAATTCTTCTTATTTGTGGCCTCACTGTCAACTCTTAAAGTTAACAAAGAATATGAGATTGCAAGGTAATGAAATAGGGACACATCTAGATGAGTTGAGAGTTTTTTCAGATTGGATTTTGGCAATTGGCGATGGTATAGTTGGTACTTCTGTTGATGGCAATGAAAAAGTCCAAATACCAGATGATCTTTTGATAAAACAATCTGTTGATCCAACATCTGCAATTGTAGAAAGTACATATCCGGATTTCAACAGTCGTTGCAATGATATAGGATACCTCCAGCAGAGAGCCATTCTTACTCCAACTCTTGATATGGTGGAATCAGTCAACGAATATATGATTTCGCTTAATCAAAGTTCTGAGAAATCATATTTGAGTTCTGATACAATCTGCAGCTCTGACAATACTTATTCAGCACTGGAACATGTACACACTCCTGAATTCTTAAATACAATTAAATGTTCTGGAGTTCCAAATCATGCTCTTACTCTAAAGGTTGGTATTCCAGTAATGTTATTAAGAAATATTGATCAGTCAGCAGGATTATGTAATGGAACAAGGTTGATCATAACTAAACTTGGAAATCAAGTCATTGAAGCCAAGGTTTTAGCAGGACAGATGGCTGGACAGAAAGTGTTTATTCCAAGAATGACATTGACTCCATCTGATGCTAGAATTCCATTTAAGTTCCAGCGAAGACAATTTCCAATCATTGTTTCTTTTGCCATGACAATCAACAAAAGTCAAGGACAGTCATTGTCTCACGTGGGATTATTTTTGAAGAAACCAGTTTTTACACATGGACAACTATATGTTGCTCTTTCTCGGGTGACAAGCAGAAAAGGATTAAAAATTTTGGTTTGTGATGACGATGGGCAAATAACTACTGAAGCTACAAATGTTGTATTTAAAGAAGTTTTTCGAAATTTAGTCTGACACTCGAAAGATAATCAATATCTTTTTGGAGGTTTAAGTACTACTTTTGTTGCTGAGATTCATTAACCAACTGCAAAAAATTCCTGTTGATGTGATTTCTGAAACATGTAATAGGTACGCTTTACTTTTCGGTATTTTTTTAAAAATATTTTCCTATTTCTCTATTTTATATATATATATATATATATATATATTGGTCATCATCTGCCATAACATGGAATAACGTTACTTCTTACATCGCATTGGTGAAGAAGCAGTGAACGTCATGTACAAAATTGGTTTGAATAAGGTAATTCATCAAGTGGATTTTGTGATATTGCATCAACTGTAATATGTTTTGGCTGGCTAAAATAAAATTATGGATGTTTCCATATACTCATTTTTTTGACTACTAATCGACCTACTAATTTTTTTGTTTGTCTTTTATTGGTGTGATACAACAAGATTGTTTCTCAATATGCTTATTCCTAAGTTCTACTACTTCATTATTCCATTATGTTCTTTCTTACTTTGGCAGGAAATGTATGATCAAAGTCACTATTACATTACTGATGACTTCTCCAATTAATGTTCGAATTGTTAATTTGTTCTCATGGCTAGAAAAAATTGTTATTTGATTATCTGATCGACATGAGGAGCATGGGAGAAAGGATTATTCATCATGTAGAGCTCTGCAGTTTGGTGGCAGAGTAACAGTACCTAACCTAAACTGATCTTTATTGTTATCTTCATTAAATTCATTGTGATTAGTTAGTTGTTTAGACGTGCAAAATACTGGAGGCTCAACTATGTCTATCTCGGGTGTTATCGCCTTTCCGTGCAGAGAGTGGTGATAAGGAACTGTCTGTTCATCCGAGACACACCAAATTTATTGTGACTAGAAACAACAGAACCAAGATTGTTTTGGTCGGGCTTCAGGGAGTTGTCAAATATGTTGTTGGGCTAAGTGGTTGTCATTGACTGGTGAGGCCTCATTCTTTTTTAAATTGTGTATTTTGTTTTTTCATTTTACCCATAAAGGTCAAGAATGATTCTTCTTCTCTTTGACAGCTTTACTTAAAATAACTGCTAAAATGGCTTCTTAATTAAGTTACTCTTAATGTTGTGTTATTCTCTTAAAATTTAATGACATCCGCAATGTAAGTGCGTTACATTTCATTTTTATTCTTATTATTCTTCACACTCTTCATGTAATTGGTTTATAAAGTAATATTTTCCTGATATAAACAAGTTTTGCTGCAATTCCAGCTCAATAGTTCAGAAAAACAAGTTATAGTCTGTCAGACAAATGAAAGAGTTGAAGAATGTAATAACTAATAACGGTTCCTGAACAATGGTTTTATCACACTTTCTATCCACAAACCATCTGGTCCTTCTACTTCTTCCTCTGTCTAAGACTTGAGGAACGCTATTTTTAAAGAAGAACAGGGCATGTATCATTGTTATTCTGTTCTTTTTTCACATTACAACAATATTGGACACGAATAAAGAATCTGTAACTTGAAACACTGCTTTAGTAAAACATGAAGTCAATTATGTATTGGGTCAATTACTTACTAAAAATACTACTGATGCACTATCCAGGTCTGTTAAAGATATCAATAAGCATCAAATTATTAGACATGAAGCAGCCAAACTATTCTTTCTCAAAGCAGATGTGGAACACATTACACTTCTGAAGAGTTTTCGAAGTAGGAATCATGGAGATGGAAAAAAGGTTGACCTCAAAGAATGTCCATGATCTAAGCTTTAGAAATAATGTATTAAGTATCTTTGGCAGAATGTGCAAAATCTTTGTCACTTATTGCAATGCAAATCATAATGTTTAGCATCAATATACAAATGGCTTCTCATATACATGCACAGACATTGGTTTTTCTTTATATATATATGATCTGCTCTATTATACACTACTAATATTAATTACCTCTATGGCATGTTCCATATGTTCCTTTTATCCTTGATTAAAAAAGGAGACAATATGTATTTTTTTCTGTTAAGTCAAGGAGTAAACTCTGTATAATTTCTTTACTTTCATTATTTGATATTACCATTTAGCTCTAATTATTCATCGTTTTCTTTCTGTTCTCAGCAACAGAGAACATTATGAATATATAGTGGCGCAAGGGAAAATTGTGCAAAAACACACTGGAAATCGTCTTGATACAACCAATGGGTTGCTAGAGGCAAAATGGATTTTTGTAATGAGCAACTCAAAAAACTCTATGCAGCCGAGGTGAGTGGTAAAAGTTACTGCGAAAATGCTTTTTTGATTATTATCCTGCAAAAAAAGGTTTGTTTTTCTTTTAATAATGTGAAATATTTGTTATTATAATGCCTTTCAGAAGAAGAGAGGAATATATCATCATTCCAGCTTTCTTGCTGGTGGGGCTACATTAGCAGCTGGAAGACTAGGGGTAACAAATGAGATACTTAAGGTAAATATCTGTTGTCATTGTATTGAACTGTTGCGTCAGATAGTTACACGATATCTCAAAAACTAAAGCAATCAGGTTTTTGACATCAAATCTTGAGGACAACTTTAGGCACTTATGACAGTATATACGATCTTATAATTGTTGGCTTCATAATTGTGCACTAATAAGGAATCTGATTTTGTAGGGTGATCGTATACATGCTTCAATCGGAAAGTATGTTGTTAAGTTTTTTAGGAACAAGATACATGAACTTCGCTTATATCGTATGAACTACTTTGTAGTCGGACCAAATAATTTGAAGTTGAGGACTACGGCACACAACCTGAGGCTGACATTTACTCAAAAGACATTTGTTGAGGAAACAAATGACCCTTCATTTCATATGAACATCTTTAGATAGCCCTAACAACAAATTCATAGAGATAGCCCGATAGGATTCACCTATTTTTCTTTTCGTTTAATTTTTTTTAATGCAGCCAATAAATATAGTTTGCAATATATATCTCTTTCTAATATTTCTCTATGCTCTTTTTGGTTTAAAACTATCCGCGCATCGCGCGGGTAAGTATACTAGTTACAGAAAATAACATGAAATGAAAATTAAGAAACTAAAAACAAAGAGAAAACAAAACAAAAAATAATATGAGGCAAGTCTGTCCATTAAATTCATTTCCGCTATCTATTTTACGTTTCAATTTTTTTTTCTTCCTTCTACTGTTCTTTTCCTTTCTTTTCCTATTCCTTAATATCCCTCTCAATTCCCCATCCCTTAGTTCAGGGATATACTTCTATAGAATTTTTTTTGTCCTGTTTGATGCTTCAAGGCGACATTATGTAGCAGCACATACTGCAGGTCCATGCAACGATCATCCTCCTGATCATCCAAGAACATGTGCCATCAAATTCTCAAATCAAAATATTTTCAGATTATGAAGATCATGTCTCCCTATAAAAATGGTTTTAAAAATTGTACTCCAATGTATTCATATATAAGCCAAGAATTACAGGAATCTCACCCGCATATCAATTAAGGAGCAAAATTAAACCTCTAGCCACACAATGATGATATCATATTATAGCGAGACAGAATACAAACAAAACCATAAGTTTCTTCCCGCGTACCCATATATGTGTCATATGGTCCCAAATATATCGCATTGGTCTCAAGTAAGTTCAACCCTGTAATAAAAGAAACTAGTGTCCTCATGGATGGATTAGAAAAAATCATCGTCATATATAATTTTACCTTCGAAATATGGGAGGTATAAAATCCCTCCCGATCTTATAAACTCTTTCAACCTTTTTTGTTTTGCTCGATCCAAGATGAAATAGTCACTTTTTGTATTTTTATTTGAGCAACTTTATGGTTCTGAATAACGTGGAGGGAATATATGAATGGTAGCATATCTCCATTGTTGGTATATTTATAAGTCTGGTGCCGGAGACTTTAGGGATTCTTTTTTCCACCATAAATAAGAAATATGGAAGATTGCAACAGTTATTCTCCCAATTGTTTGTTTCATTAATATGCGAATAATGATCAGGTAACTGCTACAAGTATTAATGTCTTTATGTTGGTATGCGATTTTTTTATGTATGTGGGTAAACGTTTCTATTATAACCTCATGATGAATATGTCAATCGTGGGACGTGACTTTTGGGTGGAGGTGTAATTAAGAGATTGGGGAACGTGACTTTTGAATTTTTTAATTTAGCACATAATATTAAATGGGAATATAAGCATAAAAAGTAGGAAAAAACTCAAAAATCTGAAAAAATAGATAAAATATNTATATATAAATTGGTAGTAAAGCGTAAATCAAATTGGATATAAATGAGGGAAGAGGGGTATTTATACTTTAGTCTTTACATAACTGCTCTCCTAGTTTCTCGCCTAGACGTAACTCGCATTATCTACTGGAGACGTGGATTTCGCCGATTACGTTTACATGGGGCATAACTGATGGGCACAACTATGGGTGAGTCCCGCATATCTCGGAGTCCGGTTCACCAGGTGAGTACCTATCCAGACTCTTGTGGCTTCCCGATATGTTGATTCCAAGGCTTTCCTTGACCGAAACGAATCACACTATTCTCGAGGGGATTATTGTATCCTAGATTTTTGGCTCAAGGTGTTGGGATATACTATTAACCATGCAGTTTAGACATAATATTGTGTTTTATGATTTATGGAATAATTGTTTATTTAATTTATTCAATTCAATAAAGTAATATTTTAAATAAATCATTTGTTACATGTGTATCCTTTAGTTATGTAGTAGACAATTTAGTGTATGAAGTCTTAACTCATGCACAGAAGATTAAATTGTCGGTTCTCATAATTAATAAACTATGTTCACAATCGAAGATATTATTGGGCAAAATATCTTGATGATTGTAGCACAAGATTATAGTATAATTTGTCTTGATTATGTGAGTGGTTTTACTCCGATTTCTTGTGCTAGTATACTTAGTGTATATTGAACGGACCAAGTAGAGAAAATATATTTTTGTACTGAATATATATAAAATATTTTCTCTAATTCATTGAATGAGCTTATACTCCTAATCTTGATATAATTATTATGATCAATGTGATTTATTTATTGTTTTGATTTATCAAAAGGTACAATTCTATTCAAAGTTAGTGTATGCCTGATAGATTGGACAATAACAAATAACATTTATGAAATAATAATTAGTTGATAGAATCTATGATTCGTTTTTGAGTTTGATGATACCCCTTTATGTAAGCTTATAAGTTTTCATGTGAAAACCCGGCCGATGAATTTTGTATCCGTCACATGAAATAGTTTAAGCGGAATTATAAAGGATTTAATTAGTTGATTAAATTAAATTTTTAGTAATTTTATTTAATTGACTGGTATTTGGGATCTTAACATGGGGAGTTAAAATAAGTGTTAGTGAATTTTTAAAATTTATATTGAAGAGTTCAATTGCAGTTTTTTAGTGGAATAAACTGCAATTAATTATAGTAGGAATTAATTCATGCAAAATTTCGAATTAATACTATAATTAGTAACCTCTTATTATTTATGTGGTCCCTGCTATACCTAGTAAAAACCTGGACTGACTTGGGTAAAAAGTGGGAGAAAAGTCATCCGGTAGAGTTAGAGCAGGATTCTACTTGCACACACAGAATCCTACACGTTTTTGGAGCTCTTTTTGGCTGAAAAACGAGTCTACATAAGGAAGACATTTTTCACCCAATAACTGTTTTTTCAGAGTTGTATTATTTTTGCCTACTCAAAGCAATTTCGTCTAAGGTCTTACTAGGACCATAGCAGAAGACTACACTACTAGAAATCCGGTAAAAACCGACCAAAAAAACCGACCAACATTGGTCGGTAATGGCCAAAAATCGACCAAAACGCGACCATTTACGTGTGGACGGTATTTTTGTGGTCGGAAAGGCATACCGACCAAAGTTGGTCGGAATCAAAAAAAAAAATATTGCAAAAAAAACCGACCAAAGTTGGTCAGTATTTTAATTGTGTAATAAAAAGATTCACCATCTGGGAATCGAACCGGGGTCTGTACTGTGGCAGGATACTATTTTACCACTAGACCATTGGTACATTTTGTTTTAAGACTGTCTTTTATTTGATTTATACTCTTTAATTATATTTTCGCACGAAAATAATCGACCAAAGTTGGTCGGTTTTATTAAAAAGTAAAATTACCGACCAAAGTTGGTCGATTTTTTTAAATGACCGGCCGAATTAACCGACCAATTTTGGTCGGTGTTTTTAATATTAATTTTTATTTATTTTAATTGAAAAACCGATCAAAGTTGGTCGGTTTCTTGAAATATAAATTTCGCGGGATTCAAAAATAGTTTTGCCGTATTTTTGCGCCAAAGAAGTTCGTAAAAAAAAATTTAAATTTTTTTTTTTGAAAAACCGACCAACTTTGGTCGGTTTTTTGGTCGGTTTTTTGACCGACCAAAGTTGGTCGGTCGACCTTGGTCGGTTTTTGCCGAATTTTTAGTAGTGCTACAACCATGGATTCTTGCTCTGTGGAGGACCTGTGCAATGATTTCAAGAGGTTAGTGGTTTCTAATCTCGTAATTGTATCATTGTCTAGTTTACATGTATTTGATGCTTGAATTGTATGCTTGCTTGTGCTGCGCATGTTCTAACACAAGGGACTGAGCATGATAAGACGTCTGACTGGGAAATACTTAACATGTGTCACCTATCACACTAGCCATGTGTCATGGTCGTATTTTATCAGTATAAATAGTCCTCACTTTCAGATAGTTTCCGTAAAAATATCCGGGAAGTAGAAATATTTAAGCGGGGAATCCCACGAAACTGCCATCGTTACTTTTGAATTTGAAGGGACATGAGTCCTTTCCGTTTAATGCTCCGAGTACGTAGCAGACCTCAATTGTCGGTGAGGTTAACAAGGTAATGATGACTTTCCCAAGTTTATACATATTAGTCCTTTCCCTTTCCGTTTAAGCCTCTTTCATCAAAATTACTTTGTCGTTGCTTTCATCGCTGTCCTCTATACTCTTCTTCTTTTGCCCTTTGTAATCTCTCTTTAAAATTCAAATCTAAGGTCTCCAAATATGGCATATTAAAGTCCCGATTCTCAAATAAAGATGCCTTCTTCCTCTACCGTCTTGAAGTTGTTGAAAGAATACCATCGGCAGTTGCCAATGGTGAAATTAAAAGAATGTTGAATACTCTACCGCCGACCAAGAATAGCTAGGCGAGCAAGATGGCTGCTGACTGATCTTCTTCTAAGGGCGAGAATTTGAGCCCCTCTCGGAAAGGACTGTATCTAAAATAGTCCTTAGCGAACTGGATTTAATGGCAGACTTTAAGGTCTGGGACAAGACTGACAAACAACCTGGTGATCGAAATACATTTGTGGTCGAATTTGCATCTTTGATTACCCGGGACCATCTTTCTACCATCCGGTATGACCGGGGGTGGATTGACGAGAGCATTCAATTTCACTGTGTCTAGGGAGATGAGTGGTTCTGTCACGCCCCAAACCTGGGAGGCGTGGCCTGCACCCGATGCCATACTTGGCCCGAGATATCACTTTGTAACTATGAACTCCGGAGGGGTAGTCCTCAACTGTAAGACCCCGTTAAATTTTTTTAATGATTTAATATTTTAAAGTGCGACAACGGTATTCGGGAATAACGTATTCGAGTATCAAAGAAGACCTATGGAGTGGAACCACATTATTTGGACATCAAAAGTGTTTCAACGACGTCGCTTCTTAGAGTATAAGTGGTATCACATTAAACAAATGAGCTCCAAATTCAGTTTTGATTGAAGCATTAGATCTGTATTGAAATTACGGAGCTATAGCAAAAAGAATCGTCGAATTCGGACATCGTATGAGAGTTATGCCCATTCCCGTGTCAGGAAAAAATCATTTCCCGTCGCCAGCGCCCAGGGTAGTCGGGGCGCTGTCCCTAGCGTTGGGA